TGCCTAAGTCTGTGAACTAGATTCCTATCTGGAAGATGTTATCCTACTTATTTGTTCCTTGGCCTTGGCCCACCCTCTCTGCCCCATTGGGGATGTCCTCCAATGACAACTGACTTGACCTAATTGGTTAAAATATACCACTTACCAAAACCTCTGTGTGTTGGTATTATCTACAAATAAATCTACTTAACTTTATGGTATCTTCATTTGAAATAATATAAAAAGTTAGGTTAAAACTTTTTACAGATTTGTTTCCTAAAAAATAGATACCCTACAACATATCAGATTCTTTGCTGTGGCTCATGGATGTGGACTCTATCACATAGTTGCCAGTACTATGACTTCTATAATAGCTATGACAGAAGCTACAAAATTAGCTTAAAAAAAAAAAAAATCTACGCTATGCAAAATGTAAGAATGTAAAGGTGTTAAACATTGTCCCTGCCTAATTTTAAACTTATGAATATAATACAAACAAGAGGTAGATGCCAGCTGTAGTCTGACTTAGAATTGCTTTTTTAATAGTCTGTTGGTAGTACAGATTGAATATCCCTTTTCCAAGATGCTTGGGACCAGAGTGGTCAGGATCTTTTTAAATTGTAGAATATTTGCATATACGTAATGAGATATCGTGGGGATGGGACCTAAGTGTAAACATGAGATTCATTTGTTTCATATGTACTTTATACACATGGCCCAAAGGTAATTTTATGCATTTTTACTATTTTTGTACATGAAAGTTTCATGATAATGGAATTTTTCACTTGTGGTGCTATGTTAGCACTCAGGAAGTTGTGGATTTGCAACGTTTTAGTGTGTGGAAGTTTGGACTGGGGATGTCCATCCAACCTGTATTACAAGTTGTAATTCTGATTTCTGGAATTTTTACCTCATATAAGTATGCAAAAAGACCATATAATGTGGATGCTGTTATACATACAGTATATATTCGCACACTTATTTTTATGCATAAACATTTACAGATTTTATGGAAAGTTTCAAATTTTCATTTTAATCATTTTTTGAAATCAGCCTTTCTTTTTGTACTACAGGTTTGTGTGATTTCTGATTATGTTAAAGAACTTTAACATTTCTTACAGTTCACGTCTGCTAAGAAATTCTCTCAGCTTAAAATCTGAAAGGGTTTTCATTTCTGAGAGACATTTCCTGTTAGTAGAGATTCTAGGTCAGTAGTTTGCATTTTGTTTTCCTGTTAGAAATGTAAGCATTCCATTGTTTTCTACTTTGTATGGTTTCTCACAAGAATGTAATATATCTTTTTAAAGCCCTTTTATCTGCCTTCAATATAATCTTTGTATCCTTGATTTTTTTCTTCAACAGTTTGTATGTAGGTGCCGAGATGTTTGTGTATATTTATCCTTCTTGGTATTCGCTAACTCCTTAGAGCTGTACTTTTTTTTTCCTGTGTTACTTTGAGTACTTCCTTTGCCCTATTCTTTTTCTTGGGTTCCAGTTACAAGTATGTTTGATCATGTGATATTGTCTTGGATACTCTATTCTGTTTTTTAAAATTCAGCTCTTTTTGTGTTTCACTTAATGTATTTGTTTGATCTTTGGTTGAGTTCTTTGGGTCTTTCCTTGGCTGTGTTTAGTTTAACAATCAGCCTGAGAAAGGCATTCTTTATCTCTGTTACCAGGTTTATTTTTATGAATATTTTTAAAATTTATAGCATTTCCTGACTTCTTACCATTTCTGTACTAGCATTTGAGGGCTCCGGTTTGAGGCATAATTTTCCATGAACTTTGGTTTCCTCTTCGGTGAAGTAGAATGGATAAAGTAAAGTTTCCCCTTGGATGAGTCCTTTTCTGAGTCCCAGTCATTCCTATTAAGTGTTTGCACTACATGATTATTTTGATTATTTTTAGTTCCTAAATTGTACCATTCTTTGAAGGTAGAAAGACCTAATACTTATTGACAGTCTGAATTAATCTCACATAGAATTTGACAAAGGCATAAAATCACATTTAAAAAGTACTTTTACAAAATGTTTTACTTTTGCTAGGTCTATGTGGGACGTTAATTGGAAGAAACAGCATTAAATCCAGTTGTCATTTGGTTAAATCTGTAAAAAAAAAAATCATTAAAAATTTTCAACTGTTGGGTTTCCTGATTCACTTGCGAAATTTCATGGCTCATAAATATGTCACACTCACTTTCTTTGCATTTATAAGATTTTGAATTACCCACCTGGCTTCCACATTTTGTAATGTGAGGAAACATTAATGTAGGAAATTGCTCTTTACTGACTAGTGTGAAGATAAAATAGTCTCATTGGAGTTGGCTTTGGAGTCACAGACTTGGGTTCAAATCTTTGTTGGCCCAGCTGTAAAACTTTAGGCTGATTATTAATTTCTGAGCCCAAGTTTCCTTATCTGTGAAAAAGGGATGATGCATCAGAATGCTATTTTGAAGGTAGAAGACAGTATATGTAAAGCTTTGGGCCTAGGGCCTAGTAAATGGTATTTGACCACTGGCAGGATTAAAAGTGATAGCTAAAATGAAATATGTCATCATTAAGTAATTTTTTTTTTTTCAGTAAATCTAAGGGGAAGGGAAAGTTAATAGTTTTTAATCACTTTTTATGGAAAGGGCCACCTGGTAAAAGAATATTTTAGCAATAGGGAAAGAATTTACTGAAACGAGAATATTACTAAAGGATTAAAGGTTTACTAAGTAATAGATGCTCATGTGCTGTCTGTACACAACCTGTGAAGTGAACCACTGTCCTCCTCCTCCAGGAAGCCTTTGTGGGCTGAGGGTGGCCACACTATCCTTTTGGTCTTGCACTCTACTTTGGATTCTGACACTTTTTTATATGTAACCCCCACCGCCTTCCCATTTCTCATCTGCACTGAGAGATTCTCTGCGTATTTACCACAGAAGTGGCCCAAGTCAAGTTGAATTGCATTTTTGAGACATTGACTGTATTTTTATTTTGAAGAGTGAAATTCTTCTTCCTTTATGTTATGGATGAAAATTTAAGTATTAACATACTGAATATAGATTAAAAAAATACTAAGAAATTACTCAACCAACCTAAAGCTCCCCTTCTCTTGCCATTCTTGTTGTTTTTTAAGAGAAAGTATTTTAAAGTTGCTGTTTTATAAATTACCACAGAATAAATATAACGATTTTGAAGAGGTGTCCAGATTCTGTGTTTGTGAGTAATTTGTACTATAGTGGGCATTATTCAGGACTGAAATTATCTAATACAAAGAAACATTCTTTATTCACACTGTGAGCTACTGTCCTCTAGAGTGCAGACCACAATTCAACATTCTTGTTTGAATAACACAAAGAATAATGTTGAATTATTTTGCTGTTGTTTTTCTTACCATCACAAAAGTGCATTCCTGATCATAGATTTTTAGTGGGGAGAAACCTAAGGTCCAATCTAACTCCTTCCAGAGAGATGAAGTGATTTATCTAGTCATGTAGCTAGCCAACTAGTGACAGAGCCGGGGAAAGACCAGGCCCTTATCCGTTATGCCACAGTGCTGCATTCCTCTGGAGAAAAAAACTTCCTACTCATGCTTAGTTTTTAGTGCTATCATCATGGGACAAGGTTTTTTCCATGACTAACTAGTGCTCTTTTGTTTTCTTGTGTGGGTGTCTGGGAACAAGCTGAGTATTTTTGTTTTAACAATTGAACATAGAAGGAAATAACAAGGCATTTGTCTGGTTAACATTTTAGGAGTCAGGAAGGAGTGGTTGTAACTCAGTTCTCTGCCCTCCATGTTGATTGTCAGTTATTTCAAAATTGAGTTTCTTAACCTGGAGTCTGCATTCCCTAAACTGTTTTCAAGATGATGTGATATATATTTATATTATAAGAAAAGAATCTGTAGCTTTCATCAGGTTATTGAAAGGACATAGAGTGTAAAACTATTGTTTTAGAAGAAGGTAGAACTAAGCCTGATTGTACTCTAAGGACAGTACTAATTATACCAGAGGAATCTCTACTGCCAATCCCTTTCTGCTGGTACCCCTTTTGTACTGACAAGCTTTCCAGACAGCTTTCTGGATCTTGTCATGGAAGCCACTAGAGGTCTCAGCTTTCCTGTTGCAGGAAACTTTTCCCAAGACTACCTTCTCCTTGCCTTGCTGTGTGCCCTTTTTCTAGGAGAGGGTATAAGACTTAAGGATATTTTGTTCATTAGACAGTTCAGCAGTGTTACTTCAGTTGAAGAAACCAAGACTATTACGATAAGAAAAAAGTACAATTGGAATTTCAGTCAGTACTTTGAAAATTAACTTGTAGAATGTCTTTAGTTTTTCAGCTAGGCAATCTATGTTTTGTCTAGAAGCTCTTTAATACATATTTTCTAGAAGCAGAATGAAAATCCGTAGATTGTGGTTCAGGAGTTGCTCAGATAGTCCAGGAAAACTGAATTTTCCTTTCTTGAAGTCTATCTGAATTAGAAAAATCTGCAGCTGATAGGAATTCATTTTGATAGTCTTCCTTTCCAGAAGAAAGCATATTCTAAAAGAAAAAAATGTGTATATGGATATATAATTCTAAATCTAGCATCTGGACATGCAAAGAAAAAGATTCAAGGAGTTATTTGTGAGTTTGTTCATTTTAAAAAGCCCTGACTGAGAACGCATCATAAACCCTTAGGTGTTGTGTTAGACGTTGAGAAGTGAGAATCGCCCCTTCCAGTGTGAGGCTCAGAGTCAGCTGGGGACACAGTCTGCCCCCTGAGAATAACAGTTCAGCTTGTTAAATACTGCAGTGGAAGTACCTGAAAAGCACTGATCTCAGTACTCTGCCTGGCCAGGAAGTAGTCAGGAGTGGAGTCAGTCGGGTGCTGGCCAAGGAAGTGAGAGTGAACTTCACCCAAAAGGTGACAAGTATTAATGGTTCTATAGAAACCTGTCCGACAAGGTACCAAGGTATGATTGGTATATTTGTGCCTTTCTAATTTTAACTGGACTTGACATTGACTATGCTGTCATATTTTGTATTTTCAATTAGAGCTCCAAACGAGAGTGGAAGCCCCTGGAAGATCGTAGCTGCACAGACATACCATGGCTACTGCTCTTTGTCGTCTTCTGTGTTGGGATGGTAAGGAACCTCATGGATGTTCTGAACCTAAGCTCAACAACTGAGGGAATGATAGGGAGTTGGTTTAAAAAGGGTGCTTGCTATATATTTGTGCTTATGTATTTTATCCGTCTTTTATTGCTTAAAATTGGAAGGTACAAGATACCATGGAGACAAGTTATTTTCCCCTCCGTACAATTCAGTGGTGTTTGGTATTTTTCTTTAATAAGAAAACTGAAATCAAAATTAAGCAAGTGGAACTCTTACCTCATTTACTAGATTATTTCTGAAAGCCTGATCAGTTAACAAGGTTTTTTGTTTTTATTTTATTTTTTTTTCAGTATTAGGGATTGAACTCGGGACTTTCATACTGAACTATTTTCCCACCCCCTTTTTTGAAAATTTTGAGATAGTCTCACTAAGTCACTAAGCTGCCCAGGCTGGATTCCAACTTGCAGTCTCCTGCCTTAGCCTCTGAGAGTGCAGGGATTATATGCCTGTGCCACCATGCCCAAGTAACATCGGTTTTTTTGAACCATGATCTTGACTGGTGTTGAGCAAATCAGTGATGTGGAGTGGAAAAGCTCAAGTATTTAGCAACTCACTCATGCAAACCTGATAGGTATCTTTGGGCCAGTGAGTTCTCTTCTCAGAGACTTAGTGTTCCTTTATATAAAATTACATGCTTTGCTAGATGACATCTATAATACAGTCCAGTTTTACTGTGTTTTAGCTCTTCTTAGCTAGGGGGTGGTTGCTCACTCCTTCCTTCTGCCCATACTAGATCCCTGAGGCCTTCTATATGTGCTGTAGTGAGTGGAGTCTTTCAGTTGGAGATCAAAAGATGTGTTGCTTCTCTCGTGTGTATAGAAGGTATGGAACAGAGACCATGGTACAAGGAGCTGGGCGTGGGATTAGCCACTGGCATACCCTTTCTGCCTTGCCAGAGCTCCTGCTACACATTTCAGTGGTTTTGGAGTTACTGCCTGCATGACGGACTGGCAAAAAAGATAAGCAAACAGCCATTTTAAAGCTGGCTGGTGTTTAGAGCTAGAAAGGACTTGGAAGTCCTCATGTGATCCATCACTCTCATTTTGCAAATTAAAACATTGACCCCACAGATGGAAATCACCATCCCCAGGCCACACTGCTAGGTGATGTCAACTGTGGACAGAGCCCAGGCTCTTCACCTGGGGTAATGCTCCTTGCCTTTCTGTCAAGGGGACTGTGCAGATAAATTATTGCCCTCTCAGTCTTCTGCAACTCAGAGTGCAGTTACACTACTTCAGGCAGCCCTTGTCTTACTCAGGTGGCTCTTTTTTTTTTTGGAGAGAGGATCTCACTGTGTAGTTCAGGCTGGCCTCAAACTCTCAGCGATCCTCCTGCCTCAGCCTCCCGAGTGCTAGAGTTACAGTCATGTGCCACGACACCCAACACTTGGGTGTATTTCTGACCCCCTCCTTCACATACGTTTTATAGGCGATCTTTAGGAAAATCTTATTTATGTCTCTGTCTAAATGCCCACCTCATAAGTCCCACCTGTTATTCACAGAACAACCATAATCTTGACCAGTAGACAAAATTATGGGTAACAGTTCTGCCCCTGAACCAAGTAAAGTAAACTTTAACAATATGTAATAAACCCAGTAAAATAAGCAATGTTTGCTTTAAAGATGAAAGTGCAGTTTCACTATATTTAGGACATTTTATAGAAAAGGTCAAAATACCATTTCCTAACATAGAAGATATTGCTCAAGAATTTACTTTGTTTAATGGAATGGCAACTGAAATGCAGCATGCATGAATATTCATGAAGTGTGGAAAAGATTTCCTGACAACACAGTTAGTCTTTCCCCACCCCCTGAATGTAATCCCAATAGCAGCTGACAAATAGCAGTTGACCTTTCAAAATTACGTTTATAAAAACATATTCCATGCCACCCGAGATGGTTTTTATTTTTTCTGCTAAAATAGCTCAAGGAAGTGCAGATCTTAATGTTAATAGACTGATTTGGGAATGACTTCAGAGTAAGGAGCTATTTGTTTACTGAAACGTTTTAATGCAACGGTAATTAATATAATGTTGATTTCAGTACATGGTAATTAACACCTACTGTGTGTACTTTTAAATGCAGGCATAGCACTGTTTTGGAATGATTCTTTTAATAGATTACTTCCATAGAATTGCACTAACATCAAATTTTGCCATGTGGACACTAAAGAAATTGTAAAGTTCTGTTGTTCATCATATCAGCACAGAGGAGATTCAAAGTTTTTTAGCTTTTGAGTGTTTTCTTTTAATGGTTTTTTTTAAGAAGTGTTTTCTGTCCTTTGGATTTTATTCTGTAGTAAAAGGTTCTTTAATCTCATGCTTAGGGACAGAACTATTGCAGATTTGGGATTTTTAAAGAAAATTGGAATATTTTCATTATATATATATATTTTCATTATATAGTGGGGAGTCATGAAGGTGAGACCCAAGTCTAAACATTTATGTTTCATGTGTATACATAGCCTGGTGATTTTTATTTTTATTGTGTTGCAACCAATCACATGAGGTCGCATGTGAAATTGTCCACTTGTGTCTCATGTTGGACCTCAGCAGTTTCTTGGATTTTTGTTTGTTTGTTTGTTTTTGAGACAGGGCCTCACTACGTAGTTCAGACTGGCTTTGAACTCACTATGTGGTCCGAGCCAGGCTCAAACTCATGGTAATCCTCCTGCCTTAGCCACCTGAGTACTTACAGGTGTATGCCATCATACGTGGCCTAAAGTGAGCAATTTTCTTTATTTTTCCTTTTTTATCTTTTTGAACCAGGGTTTCATTATGCATTTCAGGCTGGCCTCAAACTCAGTGATTTTCCCACCTCAGCCTCCAGAGTGCTGAGACTGCAGGTGTGCGCCACCGTGTCCAGCTAAAGTTGCCAATTTTGAAGCATTTCGTATTTTAGATTTTCAGAGTGGGGGTGTTTTGGGTGGGAATGCACTTTTGTTTTTGAGGTACAGTAGCTTGATCCCATGACTTTCTCAGTGAACAACACCTCTACCCTTTTTTATTTTTATTTTGAGGTAAGATCTTGCTCAATTGCCTAGGGGCTCTAAATTTGTGATCCTTAACTTCTTGAGTATCTGGGATTGTGGGTATGCACCACCATACCTAGCATCAACCTCTACTTTTAAGAGACATTCAACAAACGTTTGTTTCGTATATGTGTTTATCTCATTTCATTCTCCCAAGTGCCCAGTAGGATCAATTTTATTCCCAGCTTACAGGCTAGATATAGCAGTGTTGAAGATTAGCTTGTCCGGTAAGTGGCAAAGATAAAGCAGGGCTGTAGTTTTCTTTTGTTTTGTTTTTTGTTTTTTTTTTTTCCTCCGGTACCGGGAACCCAACTCACGACCATGCGCTTGCCAGGCAGGCGCTTTGCCGCTGAGCTAAATCCCCAGCCCCAGGGCTGTAGTTTTCTGACTGTGTTCTTTCCATCTACTGGTCCAGCTGCCTGCTTCTTACACAGACTGTTTCTAGGCTTGCAGCCTGATGTTCAGACCATACCTTATTCTATGTCTTTACTCGCAGTTCTTTGTTCATTCATTGATATCTGTCCTGTAGGTCTTAAATATTTTAAGCTCTTACCTTTCACTCATCTTTATTATTAGCTCTTTATGAACCTATGTCTATTTCTTTATCATTGTTTGTACTACTTTAGCATTCCCTTTTCTGGAATTATCTGGAACCTAGGGGATTTCCCAAATAAGTTGGGATTTCCCAAAATAAGTTGTTATCAGCCTTCTTGAGAGCTGTCATCTTTCATATTTGAACTTCTGTCAATATTTTGAAATTACTGTATATGCTTACCTACTCTAAGAAATTACTGTAGCATTGCACTTCAGATTTTCTGTTTTCAGCTGAGCATGGTGGCACATGCCTATAATCCCAGCAATCAGGAGGCAGAGGCAGGAGGATTGCCATGAATTTGAGGCCTCCTCAGCCTCAAGAGAGTTTAAGGCTAGCCTGGATGACATGGCAAGACCCTGTCTCAAAAACAAGTGAAAAACCAAAAAAACCCCAATTTTTCTGTTTTCAATTAAGGTAATGTGATAGCTGTGCATTAGCAGCAGCTGGAATGTTAAAAAAAAATAACTCAATCCTTGGTCCCCCTCAGTGATTGTGATATAATTTCTGCATTTCTGGTGGTCGGCTAAGGTGCAGATTCTGTTTTAACTTTTTTTTTTTTTTTTTGGTACCAGGAATTGAACTGAGGACTTGTGCTTGCCAGGCAGGCGCTTATGACACTGAGCTATATCCCTGGCCTGAGATTCTGTTTTAAAACCCTGATGAGCCACAGAAAAGTGTTGACTAACAAGTAACATGACTGAGTGTAGAAATATGGCAGCCTGTGCTAAAGCTGGCTTAGAATGAGGAAGAGATTTCATTTTTTGTTTTTTTGTTTTTTTTTTTTT